CCTCAATGGTGTATGTGCTCGGGTCCGAGGCGCGACCGGAGATGGGTTTATATAATTCTGTCATCGCTTTGGAGAATTCAATCTGGTGATTCAACATGCCTGTGTGTTCATTAGTCCATCTTGCTACCCGGATCTTGCTCAACAAAATCGACGCCGAGCGAATCAGTACCATTAATAGCTTCAAAATACTTCCTGGACTCATCATGGAGCTTCTTCGTCTCCTTCTCAAGTTCTTGAAATCGTCGCTCGGCATCTTGATAGATCGCATCCTTGGTGTGTTCGCCAATATTGAACCGCGCCTTGAATTGCTGCGGTGCACGAACAATGCTCTTCTGGAAACCCTTCAAACTCATCTCTGTGTTCCCGGTGGTGCGCTCTCTTGTGTAGGTGCTCGGCGGAAGTGCTCGGTATAGACAACGGTGAGATCTAGGTGTGTTTGAGATGTTGCTAGGGGGATAAAGGAGGAAGGTCTCAGGGAGTAGCAAATAAAGAGTGATATTAGAGCGAGAAATGGCTCGTTTGGTGAGGAGTGGGGGGAAAGCGACCTTCTTGTTCCTTGAAGTGGATTTGCAGCCTTCAGCCCAGCCCAATATACTAGTGGTTCGTCTGCTCGGCGCTGTGGCTGAGCTATGACATAAGATACTGTCGAGGTAACTGTGGCTGAGAGGTACCAGGTACGTATTATATAGTCTTAGTATCGGGTACAATAAATGATCGATGAAGTATAGCAATAAGCCTAAATGAATATAGCATTGAGACTATAATTTGAGGCCTATTTCCTTTTGCTCATTTGTGCACCGTGATATGATGAAGTCATACATGTTCCTTGTGACTGAGCATACCAATCGATCACGGTGTGGCGCAGTGACGGAGAACCACACCGAATGCCGGAGTCTCCCTCTAGTAGCTGGTTTAGGCACCGGTTATTCAGGCTTGGTGTTCCTGTGGCTTGAATCTAACTTGTGCTACAACATTAGGCATCACCATAGTCATATGTACCATAATGACTCGACGGTACATAATAATGGCCTAATGAACCCCAAGTACGGAGTACAGCCGAGAATATCTCTGACAGACAGCTAAGGTATCCTCCAACTATTACCTCTCTAAAGGGAGAGTAAACAACCGCGGGGTAATCGCGTTTCACCGTACCCTGCCTTTTCTTCCCCACAGAAGCTATAGGAGATCTTCCTTCCAACTCTGTTCACTTGATGACATAGTATGGATATTGTACCCATTTTTGACAATCATATACCCTGTGCAATTGATTCATCGGACAATAGATAGGTCCGCAGAAGATGGGTGAGACTCCGGTGGAAAAGACCGAGCGAATACGCCGAGCTATCTGATTGCTCCGATCGGGCTTAGCGGCAATGATATAACCGGACCCAAACCTTTTTCTCGCTGTTACGATTTCGCGCCTTTCTCCTCAGCTGTCATCCACCCTGCTATCAACTGACCATCAAGCCTTTAATGGTACGGTCGAGCAACATCTAAATTATGTCTAGCGTTACACCATCTGCCTTGAGACAGGCATCTCGTGCCTATGCTCGTCGACTCTCGTCGACTCAGCATGGCTCCCTGGCGACCGCGTCCTTCCCCAGACGGGCGCTCGCCACCTCCAGTGGTGCAGCTTCGAGACGAACATATGTTACCGAGACCAAAGCGGGAAATGCTCAGGTTTCGATCGACATGGCCATCAAACAGGAGCAGAAGAACTTCATCAAGCAGACAGGTCTTCAGCCTGGAAAGGTCGAACTTCCTGCCTCTAGCATCTCCGGAGATGCTTCGATGAGTCCCTCCGCGGGCATTTTGAAACAAGCCACTGTCATGGATCAAGGAACACGACCCATCTATTTGGATATGCAGGCCACTACGCCGCTTGACCCTCGTGTTCTCGACGCTATGCTTCCCTATCTCACCGGTATCTACGGAAACCCTCATTCCAGGACTCACGCGTATGGTTGGGAGTCGGAGAAGGCTGTCGAACAAGCCAGAGAGCATATTGCGAAATTGATTGGGGCGGATTCAAAGGAGATCATTTTTACGAGCGGTGCCACCGAAAGTAACAACATGAGCATCAAGGGTGTGGCCAGATTCTTTGGTCGTTCCGGCAAGAAGAAGCACATTATCACAACGCAGACTGAGCACAAGTGTGTATTGGACAGCTGCCGGCATCTTCAAGATGAGGGATTCGAAGTCACATATCTGCCCGTTCAAAATAACGGACTAATCCGGATGGAGGATCTCGAAGCGGCCATTCGACCCGACACGGCTCTGGTCAGCATCATGGCCGTCAACAATGAGATTGGTGTGATTCAACCCATGGAAGAGATCGGAAAGCTCTGCCGTTCGAAGAAGGTTTTCTTCCACACTGATGCTGCTCAGGCAGTTGGCAAGATCCCCTTGGATGTCAACAAGCTGAACATCGATTTGATGTCTATCTCCAGCCACAAGATTTATGGCCCCAAGGGCATTGGTGCTTGCTATGTTCGACGCAGACCTAGGGTTCGCCTTGAGCCCATCATCTCCGGTGGTGGACAGGAACGAGGATTGCGCAGTGGTACGCTCGCTCCTCACTTGGTTGTTGGTTTCGGCGAGGCTTGCCGCATCGCCAGTCAGGATATGGAGGTAAGTTATTTTCTTTCATAGTCCTATGTTCTTTGGATTGTTTGTCGACGGGGATTATATATTGCATGAGTTTTCGGACACCATGACGGTAGCTTCATACCTTTGGTATGTTGTCATGGCTGCATGACGTACGTCGCAGGGGTGATGAGTCGGCTGTTATTGAAAATCTGCTTTATGACCTCATCGATGCTATGAATCGTTTATACTAATGTTTCGAGCAGTATGATACGAAACACGTTGAACGGCTGTCGAAGCGCCTGCTGGATGGACTTCTGGCTATGGAACACACCACGCTCAATGGAGATGCTGAGCGCCATTACCCTGGATGCGTCAACGTCTCGTTTGCTTATATTGAGGGCGAGTCCCTTCTGATGGCTCTGAAGGATATTGCTCTGTCGTCCGGTAGTGCCTGTACCTCTGCCTCGCTGGAGCCCAGCTACGTCCTTCGTGCGTTGGGCAGCAGTGATGAGAGCGCTCACAGCAGTATTCGTTTTGGTATTGGACGGTTCACAACAGATAGTGAGATCGACTACGTCCTCAAGGCGGTTCAGGACCGTGTCCATTTCCTTCGAGAGCTGAGTCCTCTGTGGGAGTTGGTTCAGGAGGGCATTGATCTGAACACCATCGAATGGAGTCAGCATTAAACTCTCTCTTATGGTGTACTTCCTCCTTTCCAGATTGACCGGGCGAAGTCTTCTGTCCATTCAGTTCATCATTTGCAAATTATCGCACTCGGGACGGCGTTGGGTTGGCATGTAACAATATGAGATTGATGACGGAACTTTGATCCATTTTATATAGTCTGTACAGAATTGAGCAATGAGCTACACCAGCCTCGCGAGCCATACTATATTAGACTCAATGTAGAGCTCATGTCTTCCGCCGACACTGTTCTGTTTGTCTAACTAGGAAATATGCTTATATCCGATATTGCCATAATCCATGCGAGTATGGCTTGGGGTCTGTTAAGAGTAGCATACTTGATTTCCGCAATAGGTGTGCATCATCAATCATGTGATCCAAGAATAAACTTTGAGTCCCTGCTTTCACCGCAGCCTCGAACGGGGTGGCGTGGGTGTAGGCGAAAGCGCCGGCGGACTCGCTTATGGAGGGGAAACCGCACCCGACTTCGCACACTTGCGGGCTGGCAGGTGGCGGCCGCCAGTTAGAGGGGGTTCCGGTTCATTCTCTAGCACTCAGGCTAGCACTCGTCAAATAGTGACCCCCTTTCGCTTCCACCCAGTCTGCCGCTGGTGCTGGCGCATGGCTTCATAGGTACATCTGGAGTATCTGGAGTATATCTTTTGATGTTCTGATATAGAAGTACAAAGGAGCTGCAATAATGTCATTCTATACCCTGCACACTGACTTTTCCTAGCATCCTGGCGTGTTTACTATCATCTCCTCCTCATGTCACCTTCTCTTGCGTGTCTCAACACCCTGTCTCTGGCCCACCCAGTGCTCAATAATCACCACTCACTCTGCGAAAAGTTAGCTCAAGTCTTCTGCCTATGTCGGCCTCATTTTTCCACGGAACACTCACCCCCTTGTTCTCCGGTCTGAATGATCTCTATTCATTGGCCAGGATTTCTTGTCTCCTGACATTCTGATTAATGATCCGTGCTTGCCGGGAGACTTCGGTTGTTCTAAAAAAGGCCGTCAATATTCCTCACCCAGTCATGGTCAATTCGGTCAATCTCTTTCAGTACTCAGAGCACACGACCAATTTATAACTCACAGCGCCAGCTCCCTTCTATCCTGCCTTTCTACGAGCATTATTAATCCTCATGCCATCCCCCACCGGAGGAGCAACTTTTTCTACCAAGGTTCCGAATTAGAAGGGCCACTGATCATCTTTCTCTTCCTGTACTTGTAGCCTTTCTCATCCGCTCTCATCCGCGTGAATCGGGGAAGCGTTGTCTTTTATTGCTGGTGGTTCCAAGCTTCTTTGTGTGGTCTATCCTACTTTCTCTTGTAATACAGTGAAACCTGACTGAAGGACTGCCTGACTGCTTTGTCTCGGTCCAGTCTCTATCCAGTCTCGTCTCTTCCGCTGATCGGTGTTTTACCTCACGACCAGCTGCTTCTCAAGCCTTGGAATATAGGCACACGATCAACTCCATCGTACGCTCCAGTGTGATCAAAGGATCTGGGGTATCGTCCGAACTGAGCCACTCGGGTGTCAAGTCCGGAGCAGAGTTTAACAAACTTTGGAACCTGAAGTCACGGATTTGCCTCCGGGAGGAACGCGGACTCCAGCATCCGCTAGATAAACAACGGGCTCGGCTTTAATTCCCAATTGCTTAAATCATCCTATTCTGTATTTGAGCTGCCACTCCAGCTTGTGTGCATTGAATCCTGCGTACACAATGCTTCCTCCTATCCCCGCTGTCGCGGACTACGGCATCTCACCAGATCATGGCTTCCTTCCACCAGAACCGCCACTCGAGGCCCTTCCGGATCCTTACTATGCCAAGTGGGAATGGATAGCATCCAATCTACAGTCTCTTCTACACAGTGGAAGGATGCGTGACGTCGTCAACTGTCTACCTATTCTTCAGACCAAATACCTACATTCCGAAGATGAGTGGCGAAGGGCTTATGTTGTCTTGACCTTCATGCTTCACGGTTACGTCTGGGGTGGCAAGATACCAGAAGAGGTATGCTTTCTAACAAACGAGTTCTGCAGTGCACATGCTGATACTGATGCGATACCTAGAGAATTCCACCTCAGCTTACTATTCCACTTCTCGAGGTCTGCGACCATCTAGAGCTCCCTCCGGTGGCCACATATGCCGCAGTGTGCTTGTGGAACTACAAGCCTATCTTCCCAGATGAACCCGCGTACGATCTGGATAATCTCGCCTGCCTCAATACCCTCACGGGATCACTAGATGAACGATGGTTCTATCTGATTTCGGTGGCTATTGAGGCCCGTGGAGGACCTGCCATTCCCTTGGTTTTACAAGCTATTTCCGCAGCGCGGACTGGAAATAGCAGAGTAGTTACAGAGTGCCTGCAAAGTATTGCCGAGATTCTGGACCAGATTGGTGTGCTTCTCGAGCGGATGTATGAGCATTGTGATCCCTACGTGTTCTATCACCGAATCCGGCCATATCTCGCGGGAAGCAAGAACATGGCTGATGCTGGACTGCCCAACGGCCTGTTGTACGACGATGGAAGCGAGGAACCCGAGTATCGGCAATATGGAGGTGGCAGCAACGCTCAGAGTTCACTTATCCAATTCTTCGATATCGCCCTGGGCATCGAACACCGGCCCACCGGCGAAACTCGTCCCGCCAGGACTCTGTCCGAAGATGAGAAGGAAGGCGTTGCGGGAGCACCGCGGCACGGATTCATTCAGGAGATGCGAACCTACATGCCCGGTCCTCATCGGCGTTTCCTGGAACACGTGAGCGCTGTGGCCAATATCCGGGAGTACGTTGAAGCGCGACGCTCGGACAAAGCGCTCTGCCTCGCCTACGATGCCTGTCTCGCTATGCTGCGGGCCATGCGAGACAAACACATTCAGATGGTGTCCCGATACATCATCGTCCCCGCTCGGGATGCACGGAACCGTGCACCCGAGACGTCCAGTGCCAGGAGGCCATCGTTATCAATGAATCTGGCCAATGTTCGGCCTGGCAGCAAGAAGCTGCGCGGCACGGGCGGGACAGCGCTGATCCCGTTCTTGAAGCAGGCGCGCGATGAAACTGGAGAACCCGCTATTGACGCTTGGGCGCGACGACTGCTAAGCAACGGTCCAGCGGAGCCGAGCTTCGCAGCCCTGAGCAAATTAGGGGAGCATGCGGACGGCCACCTGGAAGTGGTCGGGTTATCAGGGACCTGGACGGCAGATGACAGTGAGGGAGGTATATGCCATTGGTAACCCAATCAAGGTATTGGGAGTTTACGGCGTGACAAAAACGATATTATTCCTTTTTCATATGTTACGAGGGTGAGATCTGCGATAGACTTTGCCACTTTGCATCAGCGGTGCTTCATTTCGGGCTGTATAGACTCCGAACATCTAAATGATAGCTTGGCAATTTACTCAGCCAAACTAATACATTCTTGAGACTTCACTTCTATCTCTATGATGCATGACGCATTCATGATGCCATCCAGAATTTTGTGCATTTGTTTCTGGATATCTGATTCATGCGACATGGCCCAAATTTGTGACCACGTGCTATGATGTCATTACATGATGTCATTTATCTCAAGCCACAAATATGCCAATTGTCCAGTCTATATAAAACCACGGACATCTCTGAACAATCAAGCAAACATATCAGAACGAAACAAATCATCCAAGACCTATTTCGAACAAGATCAATTTTTGAACGAAATCTACAAACATCCACATCCTACAGACACAATCAATCACCATGTCTGACAACAATAACAACAACAACGCTTCCACCCTCAACAGCTACATCAACCAGGCCACTGGCCTCGCCCAGCGCGCCATGGGCTCAGTCACCGGCAACCCATCCACTCAGGTATGCACTCACCCCGTTTACCGCCTCGATGTACCACGTCCAGCTCACTAACAGCACCCCAGGCTGAAGGCGAAGCCACCCACACCCAGGGCAAAGCCGAGCACGACGCCAGCCACGAGACTGCCAAATTGGGACCCGTCGCCGCAGACCCTCAGACCGGCGCCGCGGCCAAGGACAACTCCAAGCGCACCCAGGGCACCTGGGATCAGACCGTTGGGTCGGCCAAGGAGTCGCTCGGCAACTTGATCGGGAACGAGAATCTGCGCCGCGAGGGCGAGCAGCAGAATGCTAGCGGCAAGGCGCAGGAGGCCAAGGGTCAGTTGCAGGACTGGGGTGAGGGCGCCGCGGACCGGGCTAAGGGGGCTTTGGGATCGGTTGGTGCTGCGGTCAAGGGTGACCGTACTGAGGAGGAGAAGTGGAGGGATGTGCATGATGAGGGGAAGGTCAGACAGAGAGGCGCGGAGGTGGATATGGATAAGAAATACGATTAAATTGACTACGGCTTGGCGGGTGGCTTTGATCTGGCGGCTTTGATTCTTTGATGATACCTTATGAGTTATGATATGATATCCAATTTGATTCAATGATTTATCTGTGTTCAGCTCTTCTCCGTTTTAGCTCGTTGACTGACCTTGTACATTCTAAATTGAGGTTCGCATAAAGCGTTCTTTCATGGTTATCAATCTTCGAGTATCCAACAGAACCTGCCAAGAACTGTCTGGCAACTAATTCCATCAATAGCAATCGGTCATAGCATAATTCCATACTCGGTACGCAGATTATCAATCCTCGGATATAGAGCGAGCTTAGCTGTGCCCCTCATGAACCCGATCCACCGTTCTTCTCACTATGATCTCATTGCGCCAATGTTCACAACAAACCTCAGTTCCATTCCACATTATACATCCGACAATATCATACTGAAATACACTGAGTTGAAACTGTTTATGTTGCGCAACATGGCCAAGTCATTGACTCTGCGTTCAACGTATCGAATGAACTCGGGTCATGAGATTCCCGTCCTTGGATATGGAGTGAGTTGAATACAAGAACTTTTCTTCGATATCTACAATGCTAATCAATCTCTCCACCGGAGTAGGTCTACATGATGTGCGTACAACATACACGAAATACATATCCGACTCACTGACACCAAACCACCGGCGCAGTCCCGCATCTCAAACAGAGAAATCCACCTTAGAAGCTCTCAAAACGGGTTATCGTCATGTAACAAGCCCAGCAATGCCGAGTGTGAATACTAGCTAATGTCAAGATGTAGGTAGACTCTGCGATCATGTACCGGAACGAAAAACACTGCGGCCGGGCAATCCAGAACTCCGGCCTCGATCGTGCCGAAGTCTTCTTCACGACGAAGATCCCGCCGGGTTCGATGGGGTACGAGCGCACCAAACGCGCGGTCGACTCTAGTCTGCGAGAAGCGGAGGTGGATTATTTTGATCTGTAGGTAACCACTGACTCCGCCAAATGGCAAAGGATGTAGCTGAGTGATACGACCAGAATCCTCATCCATGCTCCGTACGGCGGCAAGGACGCCCGCCTTGGTTCCTGGCGCGCTCTAGTTGAGGCGCAGGCGGCCGGGAAGACTCGGTCGATCGGCGTATCTAACTATGGCATCCATCACCTCGAGGAATTGGAGGAGTATATCAAGGGCGGCGAGGGCGGCGAGGGCCGCGGCAAGATAGACGTTGGGCAGTACGAGCTGCATCCATGGCTGGATAGATCGGAGATCGTCGAGTGGCTTAAGAAGCGCGATATCGTGGTTGAGGCGTACTCGCCGCTGGCGCATGGGTATCGGCTCAACGAGCCTGTTCTGAAGACCTTGGGGAAGAAACACAACAAGTCTCCTGCGCAGATTATGATCCGATGGAGCTTGCAGAAGGTGAGTGTTTCGTTTTCTTGTTGATATTGACGAGCAGGATAAGATTGACGGAGGAATCTAGGGGTTTGTTACGCTTCCCAAGTCCGTTACGCTGGCGCGCATCCAGGAGAACGCGGATGTCTTTGACTTTGAGCTCTCGGAGGAGGATATGCAGGCGCTCAATACGGGAGAGTATTCGCCGACGGATTGGGATCCTACTGTCGAGTATGATTGATACTGTCGTGCTAAGAATTTGATGACATGATGCCAATGTGGAGTAGTATAGTTAGTTAACGACATGCCAATGCTGCAACAAATCAGTGATATACTCTCGTAGATTGAGCCTTCTGTAGTTATTGCGAAATGATGTCCTAATGCCATTTACCGCATATGCATCCTAATCTGATAACAAGCAGTTGGGAAATCGGAATATGCAGTTGGCGTGTCGGTCACCGATATGGTTACATTCCCGGAGCGGAAATCACAGCGGGCGGCGGGGCTGCTTAGCAATTCGAACCGATGCAATCCGCCTTATCAAGCGCAATTTGTCACCATTTCCAAGCGCAACACAACTGAAAATAAATCAATATATCCGGCTTGTATTCCTTGTATTCTGTCTACAATCAAGGAAATAGCCATGAAGCTGATACTATCCACCTCGTAAGTGGCAAGCTGCTGTGACCCCTCTATCACTGGACGGGACTGATCAAGATGTTTCATTTCGCAGAAATCTCATGACGAGCGGCGGTTCGTCCGTCATCAGACATTCAGGTACAACGAAATCGAACGTCGAGCTGATCAACTCGCTACGAGCGAACTTCCAGGCCGCGCAACAGCTTGCGGCCGCCGATGAGACCCAGACAGAACCCACGGAATCACAATACAAGGCATGGACATCGATGCAGGATGATGCACTTTATATTCCCGCAATCGATTTCTCGCAGCGCGGGCTGGCAGAGGAGAGGTCGCAGTACGATATTACGGTGAAACTGTTCTTTCTACCCGGGATCCCGGTGTCGAGACGGTGCGCGCATACGCGGCAGGCGGTTGATCTGGTATTGAAAGAGCTACATGTGGATTCTATCGACCTGCTTATTGTTTCCTTCCCTGGAATTCTGTTCGACGCGGAGGACGACAGCGAAGAAGAGGTGTCGTCGGATGGCGGAAGCGAGGAGCCAGATGACTTTGACAGCATCATTCAGTCGTGGAGGACGCTTGAGGGGCTGCACGAGAAAGGCATGATTGCTCAACTGGGTGTGGCGGAGTTTGGAAGCGACAGGCTCGCTCGGTTCCTACCGCATACCAAGGTCAAGCCGTCTGTTGATCAGATCAACCTCAAGGACTGCTGTGTGGTTCCCAAGTCGTTGATTCTCTATGCGAAGCAAGAGAATATCCAACTGCTTACGCATAACGACTGCAACGATATCCTGCCGGTAGGCACGACACGGGAGCTGCTGGGTCCAGGGGAGAAGGGCGCTGGAATCCTTGCGTCCGCTCCAGATGCCGACGACGGGATCAAAGGCGATGTTGAGCCACAATGGGTGGTAAAGTACACGGCGGTGGTCAAAGACCGCGGAGTGGTGGAGAACAAGGGATATTTTGCGCTGGCAGACGTAGGCACTTGTGTCAAGATGAGTTCATGAGAATATGCGATGCTATTCAGTGAGGTCTGTTTCTATTTTCGCAAAGTACACATTTTCTTCGTTGCATTGTGCGATGGAGCGTGGCGCAATATCGTGGTTCTTCAATAATGACGAATGATTGCAAGTGCATGTCGTTGCTCTCCTCATATTTCAAATGGACGACAGAGACTCGCGGGTATAAATCATAAACGCTTCGAGCAAGATGCTCATCCAATCATACTTCTCTTACGACCTCTCATCCGCACTTCCTCTAACCGCTTCAACGCCGAGCTAGCGCCCTTGTAGCTTTCCTTATACCCACTGAGGACCTCTTCGAAGAACGGCTCGGTACGAGGATGCGTGCTACCAAACGCCCTCTCAAGCACATATAGATCGACCGCACGGTCTTCATCTTGCAGACTCTGACTGGCCAAGCCAAAATCGATCAGGACAACATCCCCCTCCATGGACGGATTTGTCTCATCAGCAGCGAGTTGCTGCTCCGTATGACTAGGCGGTCGCAGGATGAGATTGCTCGTCGTCAGATCCCCATGGATAACGCCGGCCTTGTGCAGTGCCCCAACAGCGTGACCAATTCTCCTCATCAGGTCTCGAACCCGCGCTTCTTCCTTTTTCAGTTCCTCCGCGCCCTTGCCAGCCTGGTTCCGCTTCATGTATTTCTCCCACCGCTCCAGTACGACTCGCACAACCAATCCCTCAATCCACTCCATCATCAGCCAGGCCCCTCCAAATCCCTTTTCGCCAGTTTGGCCCTCCCAAACCAGCGCCAGCACGGCGGGGACATTGACGCCTTCCCGGATGAGTTTTACCAGGCACCGAGCTTCCTGCAGTATGCGCTGGCGCGTGAGCCGTCGGTCGAGAATCGGGTGGCGGTAGGGCTTTGACGGGCGGATCTTCAGAGCAGCTGGAGTGGAGGGTGAGAGGAAGACGGTCTTGTAGAGATGCGCTTCGGCGCCTTGGGCGAGCAATTGCGGTGGAGGGGTTGTGTTCGTGAAGGGAGAAGGGAGGGGAGGTGGTGTATATGGGTCCGCTGAAGCCATCGTTCGAGATTGATGCTGGGTTTTATTAATGCTTCTAAGTGCTCCAAACTAGTAAGATTCGTGATCTAGAGTATTTCCAGGCGCTTCAGCAGGTCCAATGATGGTTGTGGATGTGGTTGTGATAAATCCGAGAAAAAGTGACGATACTTTGAAGGTGGGGCAGGTGCGTGGATCAATCCCATAGTGTTTACCGCAGTCATCACCTCTGCGGGTTGAAGACACCAACAACAGGCAACCCATCAGGAAGAAACGATATTAAACTCAAGTGTTCTCTTGAGACACTGAGACATCATCGATGCAGTGTTGAAGCTCCTGTTCTTGAACTGGCTTGATGAAACGACCCAGTGTAGAGAGGTACATCCACCCCTATCTCAAACTTCTCGACAAGACATACATCGTACCGGGGTCCTCATCAGAGCTGAGAGACTGCCGCTCATCAGGCTGTCGAAATTCAATGCTGATAGTGCCATGATGAAATGCCTTGCAAATTGACAGCAATGGCTGCCTGACAGTGGTGAATCTCGATGGGGCCGATTGACGTTCTCCGTGGGCGATGTTCTTTGTCTGTCCGTCTTGATATTGTTCTTGCCTCCCGTCTTGATATTGTTCATCTCGACCGGGGAAAATGCTATACGCAGTGCAACATCCGAAACAAACAATATACGGAATGGCCACGGAGAGATATAACAATATTTAGATGACATCGCAGTGGGCCCTGGTCCACAAAAGCGTCTATCATGACTTTGTACATATTGACAAGCTGAACGAGAGTGGCCAGAATTGCCGAGACCTGGTTGTGCTCAAAGTGTTCAGACAGTCCGTCACCGCAGGTTAGCTAGCCAGCTGCTATACTTCGGCCTCGATCTTCTACAATGCTCAATCTCCATATCTAGACTCTCTTGGACCTGGTGTTCGTCTTTCTGAGCCCATCCGCATCTTCACTTCAAGCACCTCTATCGCCTGATACATATACAAGACTTTGGCACTTCTTTGATCGCTGGATCGATCACAAAACATGAACTCGGCATTTGATCCTTGGACGCAGAACATCACTCTGACTCGTTCCGACGGGACGACGGTCATCTCATCTCTGGCACTAGCGGACGAGTTCCTGCGCTACATGATTCGTCTCAGCATCAACTATGGCGCCCAGCTCGGCGCATGCGTCGTGCTCCTCCTAGTCCTCTTGCTGCTGACGAGACCAGAGAAGCGCGTCTCATCCGTTTTCGTGCTGAACGTTGCTGCGCTACTCGCCAACATTATACGGCTGGGCTGCCAGCTCAGCTATTTCACCACCGGATTTGCTAGGATATATGCGTTGCTGGCTGGCGACTTTTCCAGAGTGTCCCGCGGTGCTTATGCCGGCCAAGTCATGGCGTCTGTATTCTTCACCCTTGTCCTTATCTGCGTGGAGGTCTCCTTGGTGCTTCAGGTGCAGGTTGTCTGCTCCAACCTCCGTCGTCAGTATCGGATCCTGCTACTTGGTGCCTCGACGTTGGCTGCCCTTGTTCCAATCGCGGTTCGCTTGACTTACTCGGTACAAAACTGCATGGTGATCATGCACGCAGGAACCATGGACCACCTGGATTGGTTGGAAAGTGCCACTAACATCGTGACAACCGTCAGCGTCTGCTTTTTCTGCGCCGTCTTTGTCGTCAAGCTTGGCCTCGCCATCAAACTGCGAAAGAGGTTGGGTGTGAAGCAATTCGGACCGATGAGGGTCATCTTCATCATGGGTTGCCAAACCATGACCATCCCAGGTAAGGCCCAGAGAGCATCGCATCATTCAATGAAAAGAGATCATACTGATCAAGACCCCATCAAGCCATTTTTGCCATTTGCCAGTACTTCAGCGAAATCCCGGAATTCTCGCATAACGTCCTAACCCTCGTCATCATCTCGCTCCCTCTTTCCTCCATTTGGGCTGGATTCACCCTTGAGCAGGCAAACTCCACCGCGCGCTCTACAGAGTCCCGTCACAATCTGTGGAACATACTCTCGTCTGACGGCGCAGTGAGAGACAAACCCGGCCAATGTATCAGCTCCCCTCTGACCTCGCCGAACACCACATGTTACTCACAGCATTCAACCGGTAAACCACAGCAGGACCCGGAGAACGGGTTCGGCATTGCGGTGGCGCATGACATCTCCATCCATAGCTACCAAAAGGATGCCCGCGGGGATGTGTGAGCCGTCGTTACAATTGAGGAATGCATAAGCGGTTGATTTGGAGTTTTCTTGCCAGGTGCCTCTCTCTCTTTTAGGCTGATACAAGTCATATGCTACAACGCCAGTTGTGTCATCATAATACCTTCCTTTTTGTTTCCTTTCCTTTTCTTGCTGTACTTTCATTTCGATGCTGCGTGGGCTATCACTTCATCGTCCTGCGGGGGATTCGCTTTAGTAGCTTCAAGCCAAATAATCTTCAAGGACTTTAGACCAGATTGACAAGTATTTGCACTAACATAGTGGATTGCAAGATTCAGATGGACCAGGAATGCTCAACTAGACTGCACACCGCACGTCATAATTCTAAGCTGTAGGTAGACGCTGATCTTACATTGGACAGATCGGGAATAGCGAGGAGGTCAGTCAGGGAGATTAAGACGAGCTTCGTAATAGCTCCAAGAAGGCAAGACAGACGAACTGGGGAATTCCTCTCGTTGGAGCTTTCCCGTGTCACTATCGTAGTACGGACGGGTGATGCCGTTTGAACACGCATTTACGGAAGATTAGCCTTTTCCACTATCATCATGAGAACTTCTCCTAATGGGAAAGGGAGATGACTGCGCTCGCAGAATGGAATAGATAGCGCCTTTAAGGGGCCCGTAGATAGATGCTCTCAAGATACTTAAGATGAGATATATATACATTCTAACTCCACAGTGCCCTGCAAGGGTTCCCTACACTGATATGCAAGATATGCAACATTTGGATTAAATTCCATACCTTATTCTTACACCACGGCGGCCAGCTAGGCCTGCAATGGTTAAGAATGGCTTTCGATGTCTACTAGATAATGAATTAGTTTTGGGAGACGTGTTTAGTAGAAGAGGGCCAAGAGGACCACTTCACACGCAGTGAAGTGCCGGAAGTGGAACCCCCTGGAAGAAATTAAGGATGATCTGCATTTCGGATATATCTAATTTGTCATTTACTGTCGAGTTTTACTAGTCAATTCTACTATATTTTGGACATGCTGTGACGCTGTCAAATCCGTGGAGTTTTATTATATATTTGGTGGCTTGGTGAGGTGCGTAGGCGGAATTGTCAACCCCGGAAATGACTCTAATTCGATAACCCAAAGAAAGAACAATTCATACCAACTAGCTAGCCAGTCTGTTGCTTGTATTTGATTATGATAAAGGCAGTAGAATCATGATAGGAAAGATATTTATTAAGATATGTAACGTTAAGAGATGAATCTATATGCTTTACAAACTGGTTGCCCATTGGAGAAAGCTGGATCAACTTTCTCGGCCAAGTTTGGACAACGACTCCGTCAGGAATTCTTTAGCGTTCATCAAGTCCGTACTGCCGTAGACGACTCTCCGTCTAGCTCCACCCATAGTCCCTGCTCCAGCACGAATGCCGGCCCCTGCACCATCGCCCGGCTGTCCGCTGGTTTGGCGCACCCAGTCCTGCAAATTGCCGTATTCGTCGATGCTACCTCCGCCGACGGTGAATACGATTGCTTCGTTGAATGCCTGGCGACGCTGGCCAAAAGTCGCGCTTGTCCCTCGTTCCACACCCCCAAGGGCTCCTGGGGCTTGTGGATTGCGAGCCGCAGACGCCGGGGGTATAGCTCCACGTGCGTTTGCGCTCCTTGGGTCGAAATAGAGATAGTTCTCTGTTTTTGCGATTGCTGAACTGGAGGCTGAGGACGGATCCATGATGGACTCGGTGATCTTGGTTAGGGTGAGGTCTTTGTTTGCAGGGAGGAAGTTCTTAACGCCGGAAATGAGTGAATCGAAATTAGCACCCAACGCTCCGGATGTGATGCGGTCAGTGAGGCGGTTGGAAAGTGACGAGAATCCACGGAACAAATCCGAGGATTGCTGCTGCGGTGCGGCAGTCGTCATCATGGTCATCCGGGTGAGCTCTCGAACCTGGCGCACGTAGGTCAGTGGGCTAATATCCTCAACTCCTGCGCGCGTGAGAGCCTCTTCAAATTGGCTCAGGTCTGCGCGGGATAGGTCTGTTTCTGTGCTTAGGAACCAAATAAGGAACAACCGGAGCTTGTCGGTCGGGTTGCTGCCTTTCGCAGGGTCATTAATCAATTCCATGATCTGTGTTTTTGATTGTTTCGTAATGTTCTCCTCGAGCTCGAAGAAATTATCCAGCTGACGGTCTTTGATCCCCTTGAGCAGTGCGGTTGCTATATTCATGTGCATGTCTAGAATGGCTTTGCGTTCCCGCAGCTCAGGAAGCAGGGTAATCGCAGCTTTGAGGTGCTGTGCAGAAGCGCTGGTGTCATTCTGCAAGTCCTCAATAGAAGAAGCCCCAGTCTTCTTCGTGATTTCATTTGCGTCTTCTTTATAGCGCGTCAATTCAGCGTCGATATCTTCCGCCACCTGAGGAAAAGGTGTTCCAGCGTTACGCTTCCAGAAGAAATCATTGCTGTTTAAATCGTATACTTTCTTTGTCACGCCCTTGGCAGGGTTCGTCTCATCGATCGGAGTTTCAACGGTTATCCGGTTGAGCCGCATTTGAAGCACGTCTTGTACTAATGATTGGTAGGTCCATGAATGCGACAGCATGGGTACCAAATCGACATTACGGTCGACGATAATCAAGACCGGTCGTGAAGAAGGGACTCCTGCGGCTGTTTTCTTGTTGCTGGAGAACAGGTTGTCTTTCGAATTCAGAATATGGTCACGTAGTTTACGGTCGAGCTTGGTGGCAATCAGCTCTGCCGCTCCGCCTTTCGGACAACGGATGATTGGAATCGAACCTGTTTATCCCAGGATCCATGATCAATGGCTGACTATCAAGCGCGGAGAGGTTTGAAGCATACCCATAGTGACACTGACACTGAACAGCCCGCTAACGATCTTGTCAACAATGTCGTCCAACTCTTCATCACTCGTTTTGGCGCTGTTGATCTTCCAATATGCGTCGTTGCCTAGCCCCAAGCTGAAGAGGTCCGGTTCGGCTACGATAAAATTTAAGTACTGGTCGTAAACTTGAGCAACATGCTCCGCGGTACCGGTGGAAGCTATTTGAGACGCGAAGTCTTCAAGAAGTGGCCGAGGTATGGATGAGAGAAAGTTCACATAGGCAGGAGAATAAAGTCCACGGGAGAGATCATTCGTAATTGCTTTGATGTTTGCAGGAGTCGGTTCAACAAGGTATACGACGGGGACATCGGGGATGGGATATCTGGTGGAGTTGAGATTCCTTCAAGACAACGATTAGCTGCAATTCTATGCTCCTTGCACGGCAAGGACCGTACAGATGAATAGTGACACCCCAAGCTCGAAGGTCGTTTACGCGAAGTACGCTGCTGATGACATCCCGGCCCATGTTGTCGAACACTAAGACCTTCCAAATGGGATCGCCATCTTCATTGAGAATAGGCGTGGAGATGAGACCTTGAGCTGATATATCGTGAGGGGCATCATCCGTCGCGTGGGGCTCGTGGTTCAAATTGAGGATCTTCTGAATAGACGCTATGAGGCCAGTTAGTGACTTGCTATACTCATTGAATGATTTCCAACGCATCGGGAAACCTACCGACCTGACGGTCTCGCAGAGACATTGCGTGAGACCCCATGGTATGTTCACTTGCACATGCGCTGTTTCAAACAAATCAAGCAATTATACTCGAACCATGACACGTCCACTTGTATTGTGAGGAACGAAGAAGATCAGGTCGCAGAGATGATAAAAATAAATTTCTCTATTGCATTCACCCTGGCCTCTCAGGGGGAATCCAAGAATAACTACCGACCGTACTATGATGTTATCGCGGTATCTCTCCACCTGGCATCCTGAGCTGCTCCCAATTGTTGGAGCTGACATAATCCAGGGCTAGGCTGTTTCTCCCTTAGCTCAATACAAACAGAGCAAACTCTTTCGTCGAATTGGGGAGAACCGTGGCTGGTAAAATCACGTGATTATGACTAGGCTCGAACAGGAGTAGCAGAGAAATCACCCTAATATCAGCAGGACCGCCCATGAGCCGCCCGGCTTTTCAGTTCTACCTCATCACCACGACCAACAACAACCCATCCCTATCCTCTCAACCATCCCCGTAAAGCGAATTACTATGCTACTGAACTGCTATTCAGGGCGGTTCTTTGTATGAGAACCTCTTTCTTTTATCTTTAAGACAAGTTTAGAGGAAAGAGAGGTCCACAAGGACTAGCAGTTCGAGCTGACTGGTCGCGTCTGCCCGACAGAAAAGGTGGGCAAGGCAGGTCAAGGTGACAAAGGGCGCATAATAAGGGAACAAAACACAAGGCTGGGGATTAAGGAACAAAGGAAGTGGGAGCAGTGAATTCCAGGAAACAAAAGGAACAGACCACAACCTCTACCTTAATACTGGTCGGTGTATTCGAAACAAGAGTTGACCAAGTTGTGTGGTACCTAAGGTGCTTCTAAAAGGCGCAAGACGGTCGCAAGATCTGAACGTGACTTGCAGGACACGCCTTCGGGACTGCAGACACAGACCTTTGCCAGCCTGTGGCCGCTACAGTATCCTTACCAGCAAGTCCAGGTCATTTTAAGGTACCTAAGGTAGGCTCTCCGAGGTGGGTGGATAATCACTGCCACACTGGCCGGCCTTACCGTACGGAGTGCACCAAAGAAAATTGCTTGACAACTCCTTCGGTTCCCCCAAGGTTCGCTCCTGCGGCTGCTCTCTGCAAGGCGGGAATCCTCTTGAATTTTCTCCTGGCTTGACCGCTTTCAATCTGGACGTATCAAGTTCTACAAACCGTTCTTTCACACCTCAACCTGAATCAGCTGCACTCCCGTTGGCTTGAGCAACCAACCAATTAAATCCCTCGCTGCTACTTCAAGTGCCCACCCGGCTGCTGCCAACTCCGATCCGAGAAAAGCGGCAACTGAACTTTACTATATTGGGTATCCCAGACACGTGGGTACATGTGACTTTATAAGATTACCCTTTTAGTACAATAACAACTACAACCTGCGATCGAAGTCAACGTCTGCTATAACGGGCA